CCGCGGGCCGATTACATTTCAATCGATGCCCTTCCCGAAGTTGGGCGGGGTGGTGGCGCCTGGACCCGGCGTCCTTTGTAGACGCAGCTGGCGCCGAGGCCGCCCGCGCCCCCGCCGCCGTCCGCCCGCGCCCGCCGCTCACCTGCACATGATCTCGTGGGTCAGCAGCACGCGGCACATCTCCGGGTTCTTGTCCTGGCCCTCGTAGACGATGGCCTGCGCAGGGGACAAGCAGAGGCGGGGTTACGCGGAGCCCACGGCTGTGGCGCCCAGTCGCCCCGGCGTTGCGGGCCTCGCGGGCGGCAGGTGCACGGCGGGCGAGGGGAGGCGTCCGGGGCCACCGTCCTGGCGGGGTCACCCGGAGCCTGGCTAGGCCAAGGCGGCCTCCTCTCCTGGGCGCCCGCCGGGCCTGCGCAGGGCCTTCTGCTCGGGAGGACGGCTGCCGCGCTCGGGCCGGGGCGAGGGCCGGGAGACGGAGGCCGAGGCCCCGGCGCAGGGAGCGAGGGCGCGCTGGCACCGACCCCGGCGCCCCTGCTCCCGGCCCCCCTACTCCCGGCCCCCTTGCTGCCCGTGCCGCTGCCGCCGCCGCCGCCAGGCCGCGTCCTCGGGCTATTATCTACACCGAGTTGCAATCGGCGTGTTGCAAAAGGCCGATCTGAACGCGCTAAGTAAGAGTAAAGAAGCGGAGAAGAGCCGCCCGGGCAGCAGTTTGCCTGGTGTCGAGGGCCGCGCCCGCCCTGCCCCGCGCGCTCCCCGGGCTCGGGCAGGTCGGGCGCCCGGCAGCTCCCCGCTTTCCAAGCCCAGGCGCCTGCGTGGGCCGCCCGCCCGGGCCCCGCCGCCGCCCCGAGCCCGCGGGGCCGCCCTGAGCGCCCGGCCACGGCCGGGATCCGCACGCGGCGGGCGGTCCCGGGGCCGGGGCGCAGCAACCGCACGTGGCCGCGCGGGGCCGGGCCTGGTGGGCGCCCCGCAGGAGCGCTGGGGGCCCCGGGGCGCCCGGGCCCGCGCGGCCACGTGCTCCTCGCCGGATGATATTTGGAAAGAAAGTGCTAATGGCCAATCTGGTGTTTATTTTGAAACTGCTAACAATGATTTTTCTCGGGTAAAAAGGCAGTGTCTGCGCACACGCTCTGGTGGGTTTTGAGCAGAGGCTCCGCCAGATGGTGCGAGGCCCTAGGTGCGCACACGACCGCGCTCAGCCCGGCTCCGCAGCCGGGAACCCGGGCCGGGGGGCCGCCCGCGCCTGCCCCACCGCCGGCCTCGCCAAAAAAGAAAGAAAAAAAAAAAAAAGGGAAAAAGGCCACTGGGGGAGGGGGAGGGGCGAGGGCCGGGAGTCGCAAGTTCCCCCGCAGAAAATTCCACGGAACGGGGAGGGGAGTCTCCTCTCCAGTTCCCGCCCTCCCCCCCGAAAATTATCTGGAAATTACTTCCAACCTCCTCGGGCACTTCTGACACTTTCCTCCACTTCCAGGCGGACAAAGCCCTTTCTCGGGAAAGCCCGGGGCCGCCCTCTGGGCAGAGGGAAGGGTTCCCTCGAGCCCCTCTCCCACTGCCTCCTTCCCGACCCACTCGGAACCACAGAAGTGATGGGTGTCACCCCAAGCCAACGGGCCGCCTGGGGCTCAGGGCGCGTGGCCACGGCGGGCACCAGCACTTCTGAGAACGCGGCTTGTCCTCGGATGGATCCCCGTATTTATATTTGATTTATTTTTTATTTTGTAGCACAAACAGAAATCCATAAACTGTCGGTTCAGCGCCATTGACTCTTTGATCAGTTACTGGGCTATTTCTTTCCTTCCCCACCCCGCCCCCCATCTCCGTCAGTGAGAGGAGATTAAATGCCTTTATTCTCAGCCCCGTTTATACTGTAAAGGTACAGGGAAAAATGAACAATAAAAGTGCACTTAAAACGGAAACCTCCTCCTTCTCTATGCAGAAACTCAGCGCTGCCTGAATCAACCTCTTCGTTAGACTACAGAGATTTCCGAAAACATTTAGCCCTTATATACAAAGGAAATAAAAGCACCCTGTCAACGCGCCTCCCGAGTTCCAGAGGCTTCCCTGAATCCCAGTGAAATAATTACCGAAGGACACGCCGCCTCCGTCTTTGTCAGAAAGACCGTAGTTTACCTGTCAGATCTGTTTTACTCTAAGAGAAAACCATAGTGTTTTACCACTGCAGACATTAAAATCTAACACGCTTGTTGCCTAGGTAAGGACAAACTTTTTAAAGGGGAAGTAAAATCCGAAAACCAATTGCCGTGCAGGGAGTGGGAAGCATGCGTGCTGGGCTGCAAGAAGCAGAAAGAGTTCCTTTTTACTTTGCTCACAATTCTTCAAGTTAGCATCAAAACTGAAGACACTACTTTCATTTCTAAGCGTGAAGCTCAGTTTGGTAGTATATTTTAAATCAATCTGCGCACAGTGGATTTCACTTAGGCGTAGGATTTGCCCCTCCCCCAACACTACTTGAAGAAAATGGGGGGGGGGGAATCTTTAAAACAACTAAACAACAACGTACCACACAACACAAAACCAGCCAGAGGCTGCACAATGTCAAAAAGCAATGACGCACTTTTCTGCACTTAATCACACGACTGATAGCCAATAGTTATCATCGGAAAAGTTGACCAAGACAGGTTAAATAATTTAATAAGGAACTGCTGGTAATTATGTTATTTACAAGGTATGACAGAGGGTGGAAAGGGACGAGAAGCTACCCCCAGAGCAATGAACAGGTTTGGGTGACCCCTGGAGCTCGGAGTTTGAATTATGGAGATGGGGGGCTGAGAGGTGAAGATGGACTAGAGGAGAACAAGGTGACTTTTCACCCCAACACATTTAACTTTTAAATCCAAATAAACGTCTCGTGTTACTAGACCATCACACTGGAAAGGAGGGAAAAAATGAGCTAATCAAGTCCAACCCAATGGGCTCTGGAAAGGAGTTAGTTGTCTTTGTTATAGAAAAAAAAAAATCAATGAAATGATTCCAAGCAGAGAGAGAAACGTTTAAAAATTTACAAGGGGGAGACCCTGAGAATTTTGTCAAATATTAATTACCATAATTAATTAAGACAGAATTTGATTCCAATCACAAGCCATTTAATAAAGCATATATGTCCTGTTCTAATGACAACATAAACTATTTAACCAATCACTTCATTTATTCCAATAAATATGGAATTCTCATTAGCATGTCAAGGAAACTAAATGAAAAACAAATACACCAGATCCATTTGTCAGTCTCCTAGTCTCTGAAACCCCAGGACAGCCCCAGCTGAGCAGTGAAAACTAGTGTCGAGGCTTAAACTTTCTCACCTGTTTGGTCATTGAATCTATGAGGCGAACATACAGATCCTGCTCCGTTCTGACTCCTGCGAAGAAACAGGGACAGATTCTCATCAGGATTTTAGCAAGGGCACACGGGGGCACAGGAAGTCGGTAACCCAGGACTGCCACCTCCATGATGCAGCAAAAGTTAGGCATGCCCTTTAAAAGGCAGGAAAGAACCCCAATCACTTCTCATTTAAATTTTTTCTTTTCTTAATTAAGAAACTTAATACTCTTAGAGTTTGCATTTAAAGGTGCAAGAAATGTGCCTGGCTGAGCGCAGGCCTGGTCGCTCCTCCGGGTGGCCCATGTGCTGCTTTATTTTTGAAAACAGCACGAAATGGAAACTAAGTGAGTGTCTGAACTCTTTCTAATGTCTCTCGAGGATTTTTTTAAAATCTCAGTGCACAGGAAGTAAGTTGTGCTCGGTGTACAGAGCTACCCCCCGTTTCAATAATTAACATTAATTTGCAAAATTGAAAAAAGTCACTTAAAAGTGATGTTCTGCTGGCACCCCGTATCGATCCCCTTTTTACTTTCTGCTTCGAGCCCGACCGGTTAATCATGTGAAGTGCCATCGACTTATTGATCATTTATGTTTTGTTTTCCTTCTATGCCATGAGAAGATTTCGTGTTTACATCCATGTCATTTTAATCTCAAAATCTTTATGTCCTTTAGCCATCGCGGAAAGGGAGAGCGAGCCCGGCGGGGCGGGAAGGCAGGAGCAGCCGCCGCCACTTACCGTTGCTGTACAGCAACTGGAGTTTATAGTGGATGCCGTTGTTGGTTTTCTCGTTGTTGGGCTCCTGAAAGTAACGATAAATAATTGCATTTAGTGCGATCGGTGTCCGGCGCGGCCACCGCACTCGGTCCCCCTCCACGACCGAGGCCCCTTGGCCTCACGCATGGCAGGATTCCTAGCTCGGAGCAGCGCGGTGATGTCACTTTCCTGCTGGAAGGCCAGCGTTCTCCTCGCCCGGAGTAAGTCCGGGGGCGCAGAGAAGTTGCCCAGCCCTCGGCTGGCCCGGGCGGCCGCACGTGGCGGCGGCGGGGGGCGCCTCGCAGAGCGGTCCCCGCCGCCGAGGGGGCACTCGGGGCCACCGCGCTTGGGCACCGCCTGCCTCCCACTTCTAGAAAGATGGAGGGTGTGACTGTATGTTTGCACTTACTTTCTCTTTCTCCACAAAGTCCACAAAAGCGGTCCTTTCAATCTCCACCGGCTGCCCCTGCCTGTCGTAGAGCGCCAGCACGAAGTGGAAGAAATTGGATTTCCGGAGGTTGGAAGGCGGCTGCTTCTCGAAGTGCGCCCGCGCCAGCCCCACGCCGCTGCGGGAGGAAAGAGACAGCGGCCCGGTGAGGAGCGCGGCGCCGGCCGGCTGCGGGGACCCGGCGGGGCCGGGGCCGGGACGCGCGGGGGCGGCCGGTACGTACCTCTGGGCGGCCGTGTTGGCGTCCACCGGGGCCGGGACGCGCGGGGGCGGCCGGTACGTACCTCTGGGCGGCCGTGTTGGCGTCCACCACCCCCGCCGTGTGCATCCACGAGCGCACCGGGTTCATGCCGCTGCCCAGCGGCTCCTCCTTCATGGTCGTCCCCCCGCGCGGAATATTCTCCTGAATCCCAAACATGAAAACTGGTGGCGGCGGCCGCAGCTCCCGGCCGAAAGCGCTTCCGCGAGCAGCGGCGCTCGGGGCTCGGCGGCAGGCGGCTGCCCTGGCCGCGCTGGCCCTGCTCGGCGCCTGCGGTCCGGCCCGCCGCCGGCTTCAGCCCGTCCCGGGCAGGCGCGACATACACCGGCGGCCGGGCGCTCCGGACGGCCGGGGGCGCGGAGGCGGCTACACCGGCGGCGCTTCGGCGGAGCAGGACGCGGTGGCCGCGGCGGCGGCGGTTTTTGTTGTTGTTTTGCAGGCGCGCTCAACGTGGTGTCATCCTAGCCAGGCGGCGTCCGCGGCTGCAGGACACTGCGGGATCGCCCGCTTCTGGCGCGGCCCGCCTGCTCCAAAGACAAATAAACGGGGCAGTGAGTGCCGCGGCGCAGTCCCGGGCGCAGGCGGGGCGCGGCGGGGCCTGGAGCGGCGCGCGCAGCGGATGGAGGCGCACAAAACTCAGCCCTCTCTCCCCGAGGAATGGACCCTTTCCCGGGAGCCAAAACTCGAAGCCCCCGGGAGCGGCGCTGTCAGAGGGTGACGTCGGGGGGCGGCGCCTGCGCCATATATGGGAGCGGCCGCCCCTCGCCGCGCCCCTCGCTGCCGCCGCCGCCGCCGCCGCGCTCTCCGACTGACTGCCTGACGGCGCCGCGAGCCGGCCCGAGCCCCGCGAGCCCCGCGAGCCCTGCCGCCGCCGAGCGCCGACGAGCGCCACCGAGCGCCGCCGCAGTCCCCAGCCACGCGCCGCGGCTCCTCGCGCCCACCCGCAGCCAAGGAAGTTACTACTCGCCCAAATAAGTCTTGAAACGAAACAAACAGCCAGTGCACAACTGCAGCCTGGCCCCTTAATACCTCCTCCCGAAATCAGCCACACAGTCAAAACACCGTGGGGAGCAGGGGGTAAAATGCCGGGGCGCCCCCAGTTGCCCAAATGCTGGCACTAAATGCAAGGGGCCGCAGGTCGCCCTGGGATGGCCCAAAGGGAAAAGTGGTAGAAGCAGGGCAGGCTGCAGGAAGGGAGCTGGAGGGGCAAGCAACGGACTGGGGGGACTGGTGGCTGGGGACTGGGGCCTGGGGGCGAGGTGGGGGATGGGGAGCAGGGCTCCCCGGCCAAGGCGGGGCGCGCAGCTCAGCCTGTTTTCTAAGCAGTCCTAAAGCGGCTGGGGGGGCCGGTCTGCCTCCGTCTGGGCCTTTCTGGGCGCGCGTGCTTTCCGCCCCGGTGGAGGCCACCGAGTGTCGGTCTGGGGACCCACGTCGGAGGCGGGCTCTGCCAGATGCTCTCTTTCCCGGTGGCCACGGGAGACCCCGTCCCCCAGCCTATCCTTAGGCGCGGCGAGTGACAAAGGCGGCTCCGGGCTCTCTGGGCGGACAGGAAGCGCGCCCGGCCTCTGCGGCAACCCCGAGCCGGGTGTCCGGCTGCGCGCCCCGCGCGATGACCAGACCTCCCCGGTGCCAGCCGCTCTAAAAGCCGAGCAGACGCTGCGGGCGCCCGGGTCCTGCCCTCGGTGCCGGTGAGCCCGAGTGAGCGCGCGGCGCGCGGCTTCCAGACCTGGTTTCCAGGAATCTGGAGGGCAGCGGGGTGCGGGTAGCGCGTGGGCCCGGCGACCGAGCTCCCGCAGGCAGCCGGGACTCGGCGCCCAGGCGCACTGCCCGCCCAAAGGACGTCTGCGCGACACGGAGCGGAGGCCCAGGGGACGACCAGGAGCTGTCCCGGCACTTCCCTGCCGAGAGAATTCAGGCCCTTCTGATTAAAACAAACAAAAAATTAAAAAACAGGTTTCAAGGTGCAGTGTGTCGCAGGACAGCCTCTTCACGCCCGGTCTGGGGCTGCACTCGTTTTCTTTTTTTTTTTTCATGAATTGGCAGTGTGTGTGCGTTAATATTTTAATTAATCGGGAAAATCAAAGTCCGATTTACGTTATCTGGGGACCCCCAAGCCTCTTGGAAGGGGTGAGAAAAAAAGCAGTGCTGGAAAGCAATCTATTTTGCTGGTGTTGGGGGTTAATGACTATTGCCAAAGATAAGTGAATTATCACAGCTGTTGCGCCAGTCCCATCTCAAAATCCATTCCGGTGCCGGCCGTCTAATTAAATACGTAAGTATAATAAAATCATATTTTATGACTATTTGAAGGTAATGAGATTAGTCTTTAGAAGCGATCGCCACATATTAAAGATGCCACTGTCTATAGAATGTTAATAACCTTAAATCAAAGTGTATGGAAACTATTCACGATAAATTAAATGAAAATTTCTGTATTCCTAATAAGCCCAGTGCTTTCCATCCACAGCCGACCCAGTGGAAGAGGGAACACCTTCCTCGTGGAGGGACAACACAAAATAAAGTTAGTCAACGGTGGAGGGTCGGGTTGAGAAATCGCTTTGTCTCTGCGTATTTAGCTGCTTCTGGGGCTCACCGCAAGGCGAGTGGCCAGGCAAGCGTTATTGTCAGATTATGCAAAGTGCCTTTTCGGAAAAGATGAAGTTGGAAAGGGGAAACAATGTTCCCTTTGTAGCACACTTCCTAAAATGCCCAGCCCACGCTGGAGGTACCCCCTTCCTTGCTCTAACGAAAGTATCATGCTTAAAATCATTTACAGTATCTTTAATTCAGATTACACGCGCCAAGGCGATTTAAATCTGATTACCAAATTAGAAGGTTTTAAAACAAATCCTCCTAAATCTGATACTGTTGACTAAAGAGGGAAAAAAAGTTCTATAAGCCCATCACATAAGGTAACGATCCTGCCCCAGAAAGAAAAGGGGTTTTAAACCTTTTTGACAACAAATGCAGCTGCCCCACTATTTTGGATGATATTAAGCGAAAATGAATGCAAATCTGTGTTCAGCAGCCATCTGGCCCGAAATGGGGGAATCAGCTGCTCTCACAACAGGCTCGGAGGCTGAATCCATTTCAGCTCATTTTCTAGATCATCTGGTCCCGCACCCAAAGCGTGGAAAATACGGTCTTTATCATTCACCAACTTTATCTTTTTTGTCACTCCACTGCTGGCTCCGAGCTGCGGGCACAAGGACTCGCCAGCCGGGCAGGGTCTCCACACGGGCCTGCTGGGGAGCGGCCTGGCAGGGCAGCCCCTCAGCTCCCACACCTCACCCCACCCCAGATTTTCCCCTTGACGGGGTGGGAGCGGCAGCGGAGAGGAGCGAGGGGCCCAGCGCCCAGGCCGGGGACGGCGGAGGGGGCCGCAGGTCAATTCCTGGATGTGCAAAGAGATGCTGGGAGCGCATCCCCGCGCCCGCCGCCTCTAGCAGGAGCCCTGTCCCCGCCCCTCTCGCTCTCTGGGGATCTAGGGGAGCCCAGTACCCAGGCGGGGGAAGCCGAGGGTGGGGGGGGCGGCTGACTCTTTGGAAGTTGAGCAGGCCCGCCGTGACCGCTGGTCCAGCCTCCGCGCACAGACCGCTCCCAGGGGCCAGACAGACGCCCAGGGGGCCGGGCCGGGCGGGGCCTGACCTTCGCTGGAAACCTCGCGGGCCGCGACGGCGGCGACGACAGCTCAGGGCGCCGCGCTCAACGCGATTTGCACGGGTGGCCCTCGCGCTACTGCCTCCTCCTCCTCCCCCTCGGAGGTTGGGAAGTATTCCTTTTGTGCGGATTTACGGGGAGAGACTTCAATGAGCCCCCTCGCATTTGCATTTAAATAGCGGCATCAAGCGCTTCGCGTGCCACACACCAGTGGGCTCCCAGATGTCACGCCGGAGTCAGTCAGATGGCCAGTGCCCAGCTGTCCTCCCCACATCGTGCCGGAGCAGGCAGTGACCTTAAAGAGACAGCGCCCGCAGCCCCTGGAGCCCCGCTCGGGGAGCGGCGTGCAGGGCGCAGGGCCGCAGCCGCGCTTGGCCATTGACCTGCGGCACCACCCGAGGCTGGACCGGGCGGTACAAACGCGCAGCGCCCGCGCCCAGGCCCAGCCCGGCCTCCCTGCCGGCCGCGCAGTGTCCAGGCCGCCGCGCGCACCAAGCCCTCCGCCCGCGCCCACTACCCACCCACGGGAGGAGGGGAGGGCTGCTCCGCGCGCGCCAGGCGTTGAACTTCCCCCTCGCGCCTCCCAGTCACGGGTCCTCCACTGCTGCGTGGTGCAAGGCCTGGAGAGCGGGAGTCGGGCTGGTGCCGGCCTCCGAGCCATCCAGAAACTTCGGCCAAGTTGGGGTTCCAGGGCGCAAGGCCGGCCGCGGCGTCAGCGCCGGCCCAACGTCCAGAGCACTCTGTGAATGCCCCTTCCTGCTCGCGGCCGAGCCCGGGGAGCCAGCCGCCCTCTCTCCCAGCCTTCCGAAGAGTAATAAACTGCATTTCCGGCGTTGAGAAGCCCGGGCCGGGGGTTCCTGGAAGCCAATCCCCAGGAGGCATCCGAGGTGCGCGAGCGCGGCCGAGTGCGGCTCCCTCGTAGCGCCAGTGTCCTCAGGCCCAGGCTGCGCGGCCATGTCCCTCAGAGCCCTCGGGAAAGGGTGGGAGCCAACGCGCCGAAGGCCAGCGGTTCGCTTTCCCGCCGCCAGTGCTGAGTTGCAGGCGCGGCCCGCCCCACGTCCTCCGCGCCCGGGGGTCACGCTCAGACAGCGCCGGTGACCCGGCCTCCAGCCCGGCTCCGGCCCCGAGTCTGGGCCCGGCGCCGCGCACAGGCACGGCTCGGGAAAAGAACCCGAAAGCGGAGGGCCAGACTGACCTTGGGCCCCGGCGAGAAGGAGGCCGCAGGGGCTGGGGGAGCCGGAGAATAGAGTAATCCCGGGAGGGCGCACCTAGAAAGTCCCGTGAACTGCGGGGTGGGGGGGAACAGCCAGGCACTCGCAAACCCTGCCCCTCGGGGGTCAGTGACGCGGCCACTGAGCGCGCCCGGGCTTTGCCTTGAGCCGCGGGGGCACGCTCGCCCGTGGGCCTGGGGAGACCAGGGAAGCCTGGGCTCCGCACTCAGGCCACCCCAACCTGTTAAGCTGCGTACCAAGGGGGCCGGGCCAGAGTCTGGGGAGTTTTCCAGGCCCAGAGAACGCGCCTTCGCCCTCTCAGTACAGAGACG